GTAGTAGAGTAGTAGTAGTAGTAAGTAAGAGAGAGAGAGAGAGAGAGAGAGAGAGAGAGAGAGAGAGAGAGAGAGAGAGAGAGAGAGAGAGAGAGAGAGAGCGAGAGCGAGAGGAGGACAGAGAGCGAAAGAATGAGAGAGAGAGAGAGGGAGAGATGTGATCAGACATCGTCATAATCGTTTTGCACTGACTCACGTCCATAAATATTCAAAAATTATATCACGAGATGCTGTGTAGCGGGAGCGTTAGATTTCTATAACAGGAGTGCACAATTGTAACAGTGGGAGCTCTCACGATTCTGATTAGCCGCCATTACATGGCATGACAAAACAATGCGAGTTGTAAGAATCCTGTAAGCGGATGACACACATAGGCCTATACGTGTGACAGACAGCGCGAGTTGATAACAGTCTGTAAGCGGATGACATATATATACGTGTGACAAACAACGCGAGTTGATAACATTTTGAAAGCGGATGACACACATATACGTGTGACAAACAACGTGAGTTGATAACATTTTGTAAGCGGATGACATATATATATACGTGTGACAAACAACGCGAGTTGACAACATTCTTTAAGCGGATGGCACACATATACGTGTGACAAACAACGCGAGTTGACAACATTCTTTAAGCGGATGACACACACACATATATATGTGTGACAAACAACGCGAGTTGATGACATTTTGTAAGCAGATGACACACATATACGTGTGACAAACAACGCGAGCGGATAACATTCTGTAAGCGGCTGACACACATATACGTGTGAGAAACAACGCGAGTTGACAACATTCTTTAAGCGGCTGACACACATATACGTGTGACAAACAACGCGCATCGACGACATTCCGTATAAGCATGCGCTACACATCCGCGTGACAAACGCGCCGACGACATTCCGTAAATAGCCGTTATCCCATGCATAGTATCCCGTATTACATTTCGCAGAAGTAGGGGAGCAGGGCGGTGCCGTCGGCGTCGTCCCACACGTACCGCAGCTCGACGCCCAGCAGATTATACACGCACATGTGGTCGTCGGCGGCGGCGCTATTTTTCGGTGAGCCGGCGAGCCAGCCGTCGACACCGACGCTATCGCCCGTCACCCACAGCCACTCTTCCTCCGTCACCGCATCCGTCGCACCCAGCCACACCGACAGCGATTCTTCGTCCGGATATTGGTAGGGGATGTCAGCGAACGCGTCGACGAAGTGCCGCTCGGCGTCCGTTTCTATGACGACGAGGTTGGCGGTCATGCCGACGCATGCGCTGTTAGCGTCCGCCCACGTCATCGGGGTGCTGCCGTAGTAATAGCAGCCCTCTGCGTGGAGTCTGAAGTCTGGTGGACATGTGCGGGTGCGAACTGTGGAAATTTTACGATTCTACGTCAAATCCCTTCTCCCTCATCTCTCTCTTTTGCTTTCGCTCCCTCCATCCTTTCACTTTTGGTCTTTCTCGCTCACTCGTGCTCTGACCCCCTCTCTCCCTCTCGCTTTCTTGCGCGCGCTCTCTCTCTCTCTCATGCACTTTCTGCCCCACTGCCAGTCTCCTTCCTTCTGCTCTCGTTGCTTTCTCCCTCTCGATCGCTCTTTCTTCCTTTTCTCACTGTCCT